TTAATAGAAAATTAGTTTTAAATTTTTGTTTTTAAAAAGAAGGATTTTGAAAATTTTTTTCAATTTGAAACCATCTTGTTATAGTTTCATTAGCTAGCTTAGTATAGCTCTTTAGTATAGGCAATAGCTTTAGCTAGTATGGTAGACCATATTTAGACATTTATAGAGAAAGCTAAGTGATATCAGCTCTATAGTTTAGATAGTTTAGAATATCTTGTATATTTGCTATAATCTAATAAAGATACTAGTGAGGCTGCTGATATAGAGAAAAAAATTTATATTATTAATATGTTTAAGTAAAAACCATCAAATAAAAAAAACTTTTTCAACTTTAGCACAGTAAAAAGGTTAAAAATTCGTACTGTTAGGCTCAAAGCATGGTTTGTCCAAGTTGCTATATTTGAACTATGTCATCTACAGGTTTATTATTCTATATATATCTATGTGGTTAATATAACAGAAAAATAAATATAAACAATATTACCTAATTTGATAAGTAAACAATACATCAATCTTTTGAAGGGGATAAGCTAAATTGCTCACTTTTTACAAAATATTTTCTGAAAAAAGTAGAGGCTAACAATAGTATATAAGGTTCTTCTATAAGTTTTATAGTTATATAGTTGAATCTCAAGATTATATTATTTTAGCAAGAGCTGTTTCACTATTTGCTTCTAGAATAAACCTTCTAACTTGAATACCAAATATTTTGGAAGTTTGTCGCAAGAAAACAAAAAACTTGACCTCAAGAAAATCACTTAAATTATACCTGCTTCTCAGTATTTCATATTTTTCAAGCTTTGTCAATAACAACTTGTTTAAAGATAAGTTTAGTTTCTAGAATAACTCTTCTAGTTTGGATGCCAAATATTTTGAGAAGTCCACCCTAGATAGCACAGGCTTGATCTCAAGAAAAACTACCCAAATTATACCTGCTCTTTGGTATTTCATATTTTTAGACTTTGTTGATAACTGTTTACTCAAAGACAGAACTGAGAATAGTATATATTTTGGACCTTTCTATAGCATTTTTTTGTAGTTCAATTTTTTTGTTATATTGTTAAAAAGAGTTAAGATTAAAGTTAACTATATTATTATGGTTTTATTTAATTTAATTTATTTTGTGAGTATTAAAATCCTTTATAAATAACTTTTCTAAGATTTTGTATAGTACCATATATTATTTGCTACCCAAATTATATATTTTTGTTAACTTACTTTATTTATTATATTTTGTTAAAAACTTCTATTTAGTCATTTTTTTTTAAAAAATATAATTATAACTATATAGAGAAAATCTCTATAATAGTTATACCTTTATATAATCACTATTTCTGTATCCTAAAAATGTGACTATAGAGGGAATAACAAAATATAAATTTATTTTTTTTTATCTACTATATATAAACATTTTAGTTATACTAATATAAAGATTTAATAATATCGAAATAAAATCTTTGCTAATTTTTTTCAAAATTTCATATATAACTTATTGTATTAAATTTTTTATTAATAAAAAATTGTCAAAATATCTAACTTAATATGTACAGTTGTCCCTCTATATAGTCACCTCCTATATAATCACATCATATGTAATCACATTTATGTTTAAGCCAAACTATGATTTAATTTATAAGAAAAGACCTCACTATAAGCACAATCTCTATATAAGCATATTTTGAAAAAAATTTACTATGTGCCCAACTGTGTGATTGTATGGGAGGATGACTGTATTCACATCGCGATCATGTTTCATACACCGGTTGTCGTTGGTTTACCTAATTACAGAATGTTACTTAAAATTTGTCTTGCAAAATTCTCAACCCTTCGACCAAAAGTTTACCTGCTGAAATTCAATGTTAAACTGTGCACGATCGTCTGGATTATTCATTGCCGCAATCCAATCCTCGGAAAAATAAAGATGTAGAATTAGTAGCGTCCACAAGAATTATTGTACAATAAATATAATAATTATTAAGCAAAGAAAACGCGAACTAAGAGTTCATGACTGTCGGACTAAGAGTCACAGCTTTCGTTTTCTAGAGTGGCGAACTAAGAGTTCATCACTGTAGACTAAGAGTCACAGCTTTTCCCTACTTGTTTAAATCCCTATATTATTTAAGAAAATCTTACCTTCCAATTGTCAAGGATTCTTTGGGCCTTTCTTTTACGTGTCACGTCAAAGCCAAAGGATGATTTTATCAACTTTTGGAGATCTTTTTTTATACTGTACAATATTTTCTTCCACTCCTTATGTTCTGAATTAGCACGATAATATTCCACAACCTTTATACGCGTCCAGTCTTCTGCCTCAGTAAATTTAAAGAAATCCATGGGTGGTAAATATAGGATAGCTTTTGTTTACTAGTAAATTTTTCTAGGTAGTACAATATAAATAACATATAGATACAATTGATTTGCTATTATAAAATGATCTACTATAT